TGGGGGTGTCTGCCCGGTGCAGCACAAGGCGCTGAACGCCCGGCCGCCGGCCCGCGAGGCCCAGCCAGCGTCCTTGCGACACACGGCGGCGCCGGGGATAACGGGGCGCGCGCACGGCACGATACCAGGATGCAATCGCATGAGGGAGCGAGCAAGGAAAAGGTGCGAGCAAGCAAAGGGAGCGAGCAAGGGAGCGAGCGACTGAGGATGCGCAGTGGGGACGAAGCGGGATGAGCAAGGGGCGCTGAGCACAAGAACGACACTTCACGTCCATGTCAGTCTTAAAAGCGGGCAAGCACAACCCGACCGCTGCGTATTATAGACCATTTCAGGCGAGGTGATAAGAAGAAGAAAAGAATCGACAAACCGGAAAAGCACTGCCCACCCTCCGTCCCTCTTCACCCCTCGCCCAACAGTTTCCTGTTTTAGTGATTCTTTTCTTCTTCTTGTCATCGCGACTGAAATGGTCTATTAAGAAATCGCACCACACTACCCCAGCTTCCTCGCTTCGTGCTCCAACTCGGGAACCAACAAATAGAACATATTTTCCTAGTGTTGGTAACAAAAAATATAGCATGCCATGGCAGGACAAAACAATCCTCGTATACTTAAGGAATCGAGGGCAGAAAAAAATAAATCTAAAAGTGTACATCGACATCAAATTACAATATGATTATCATAAACGATTTTCCCGAAAACAAGGAAAAAGTGTGGCATGTTTCTTAGTTCTTCCTTGTTAATCCCCATGCTAGTGAAGTGCTTGTGTCTGTTACTATCAGCCGGCGACACCAGGAGCACCACCCTGTGTCCCTGTCGCCGCGGCTGCCGGGCGGCTGCTCCCCCGAGGCCCGCGAGGAGGAGGTCAGAACAGGAGGCCGAGCTATGCGTGCGCGGGTCAGGGCGATATCTCATGCACCAGGTTGGGTTGGACACGCTCCGCCCGCGCCCCCACACATCTCTGTGTATGGGCCAGGATGTGCACGACGATCACTTACTGATACGCCCGCCGGCCAGACGTAACGGCCGCAGCGCGACTTACGTGGCTCCATAGAAGCAGCGGCGGCAAGCGCCGCGGCCCGCATTGTGTCACGGGAGCGGCGCGCGGCCCGCCAGTTCCAGCTGATCACCCTCACCTCCCTGCTCGATCACGACCCGGAATACATACGGGGAATATTTCCGTCGTGTCTAAACGACCCTGCCAGGCGCATGATAAACAGCAGACCAGCGCCCGCGGCTCCGTCGTCTGTACGTCCCGTCTTGCACACGGAGGCCCTCGCCACCCCCACTCACTCCCCCGCCATGAGGGGAGTGTGTAGAGAGGAGGTTTCCCCGATGCCATACGGATATCTCGCCATTTCTCCTGTTATTTTTCGCTGAAAGCCAATTTCACCATGCTTCACTCTTGAAAGCACACCGTGGAAACACATACGATACTCTCAATACGCCATGATCGCACAATTCGTTTACGGACTACTGCGGGTGGGGCGGGACGGGGCGGGACGGGGTGGGCGAGGCCGGGCGGAGTGACGCGGGGGCCCGGGGGGCTGGCCGGGGCGGAGCATACACCCCAATGGTGTTTGAATAAATGCTGGGCGAGTGAGTGGTACGCCAGCACGACCCCTAAAAGAGGGTGAGGATGAGGAGGAGTCGGGAGCAGGGGTGGATAAGTAGATGATTTTTTGTGGCCGACCTTGTGTCAGGCTGTATACACTGCTGGTGTCAGTGCCAGGGGGCCAGCGGCGGCGGGGTGTGAAAAGGTCGCCGCTGCGCCACCCCCGCCCCCGCTGCCTCGCGTACGTATGGAGGGTGGTGGGCGAGGGAGGAGGCGCGGCCCCCGTGGGCCGCGGGCGCTCAAAGCTCTGCTCTGTCATGTCTGATGACACAGCACTCAGACGGGTCGGGGGCTTCTCGATCTGAACCGACGACGGAAATGGAACAGCGGCAGACGTAACCCTCCGAGCTGAGAGCCGCGGCCCTCCCCCGCATCGCCCAGGACCCTCGGTGCAGTTTGCCAGTTTGTGGCTCCACTTCCCCGCCTCCCATCCCCCCGGCGCCGCAGCCGTCGTGGCTCGACTTGGGGTTGTCCCCAAATACACATCAACACATCAATGTACTTTGCAGAGGGTCTTTTTGTTTTTCTCATCCGAAAAGAGCTACGGTAAGAGTCAGGGTTGACAACAAGCAGATATTTTAGCGCTACGGAGAAAAAACCAACTAAGGAAACCAACTTTACCTGTTATTTATCCTAGATCGGTTACTGGCCAGCAGTGCTGTTGACAAAGATGCTGCTCGTTGTTGCTGCTGCTGCTGCTACTGGTTGGCCAGGTCAGCCAGGGTGACGGTAGCAGCGACAGCGGCGATTTTGAGGTTAGGTTATAGCGCTCGGACAGCGCGGCGTGCGCGGCACAGATGTTGTGTTGGTCCATCGAGGCACTTGAAAAGAAACACTTGCACAAACACTACTCACTTTCACGATCACTTAAATCACTTTGGATCTCAAGTGGCCTGTGCATGGCACAGGCGTCGTTTGGAACTTGGAACCAGGCACGGGTGAGGTGAGAGAGCTTGAAGCACTTCTGTTGACTTTTGACTAGATTTCTCGTCGCCGCTGTGACTTCTTACACTGGATTTGCTGATTTTTACAATAATTATTTAGCTGATTATTTGTAATCACATAGGTCACGAACACCAAAGTACACGTAAGGTCACGGTAGGGAAACGATGACTGAAGAGAGGAGAGGAGATGTGAAATGGGGTATTTACAAAAAGTTCCGCTAGGGAGGGTTGGCGTGGTGTGGTGTGGTGTGGTGGGACGTATGAGAAGGAACTATATGACGTAAGAAAATATGTAAAGTGCACATAAAATTGCGCGCGGGGCCGGGGCCGGTCATTAACATTAACGTTGACTCTACAAATTCTACTACTACTTTAGAATCCCGAGTTTTTCGAAGTTTAAAAGACGCGGCGTTTATGACGCGACGCACCCCTAAACTGGACGTGACTTGTGCCCGACCCCCCAGCCCGTGGCCGTGCCCTGCAGGCCCCGCAGCGCCCATGGCGACCTCCTCCTCCCCCGTTCGCCAGCCAACAGGAGTAATGTCTTACTACACGGTGGGCGGGGGGCGAGGGGGAGCCGTGTACTTTAGCTTGTTGTTACACTTTGCCCTTTCTCTTCTCGTGTTTGCTTTTGTCTCTCCGTACCTTCGCGCATGGCGCCGCTCATGCTCGTGGCGTGTGTCGCCGTGTTCGATACGAAGGCCCCCGAAGGCTGCTGGCATAGGGTTCCCGAAGGCCCGAAGGCGCTTGCCTGCCGGCCTGTGCCTGCCTGCGGGGACCAGGGGGGGTGAAGAATAGAAGGGGCGAGGGGGGCGGGCTCTCCCGTATAAATGTGTCGCGGTAAGGGGCGGGCGTCCCAGTGCTTGAACGACCGATACCCAGCAGAAGTGCCTCAAAAGTGCCGCCCGTCAGCCACGGCACGCCGCCCCCAGCCATGAACTGCATGGTAAGCACTGTGTTGTATGGTGTGCGTACGTTTTCTTTTAGTGGTGTAAAAATAAAAGTCTATTATCTAGTCGAAGAGGCGCAACTTGATTACTGCAGCGAAAGAAAAATTAAAAGAGAGATACAATTTCTTTTGCGTGATTTTCTGGGGGGTGGCTGGGTGGTGATCCGCACCTTCTGCCGTGGGGGTGGTGAAGCTCCGCGTGCGCAAAGTGCCGTAAGTGATTTAGGCTGATGAGTGTCGAGACGTTGTTGCCCGCGGCGTTGAGCGGCGCGGCGCGCCCGACTGAAGGCTGAAGGAGAATGGTCCCGCCCGCGCCTTAGGCAGCCCATCGAGCTCCACGGAGCAGGTGGGGACGTGAACTCGAGGTGGAGGTGGAGGACCCGCCGCAGAGCCAGGTCGTTGCGCTGAACGTGGTGATCCTGATCATGAACCTCTCCGCGCAGGTGCTCCTCCTGGTGGCCGCCGTCGTGCTCGCGAGGTGCGACGCGGACGCCTCTGCCGCGGCGGCCCCGGACCCCGCGCCAGCCCCGGCCGAGACCCCGGCCGCGGCGCCCGCGCCGGACGCGCCCAAGAAGGACAAGAAGACCGAGAAGAGGGGGCTGTACGGGCTCGGGTACGGCCTGCCTCTCGGGCCCTACCCCTACGGGCTGCTCGCGCCGGCCGGGCCGCCGCACGGGCCGCCCGGGCCGGGCCCGCTGCCAGGGCCACTGCCGGGCCCGGGGCTGTACCCGGGCCCATACCCCGGGCCGTACCCTGGCGCCTACCCCTACCTGGACCACGGCCACGTCAAGACCGTCACCATCACCAAAGCCGTGCCGTACCCGGTGCCCCAGCCGTACCCGGTCACGGTGGAGAAGCACGTTCCCTACGCTGTGAAGGTCAGTACACGGGGTGCAGTCCGAGGGGTGCTTCACTTTAGGTCCAAGCGTACACCACTTTTCTGTCCTTGTGTTGTTTTTTTTAAATTAATGTTTTAACTTTTACTTTTTCAAAAAATCAGAATTTCTTTTGTAATACTGATTTGTTTTCATGTTGTTTTTTCTAAACGGGAGAGTGCACTAATTTGTTTGAGTGAAGTGCCCCTCCTCGGGAGCGGCCCGCTCGAGAAGCACGTTGGGCGGCCTACCGCCCGGGCGGCCGGCAGCCTGCAGCGTAGGCCAGCCCGCGGGCCACCGAGGCGCCGCTGGGCGGCCTACCCCGCGCGTGGCAGGCGCTGAGAGCCCCACGCGGTTGAGTCACCCGGCGGCGGCGTGAAAATAACGCCATCATTTCTCTGTACTCTCGCGAGGGACGAGTATAGTGCGCGGCGTAGCAACCCGCCGCTAATGTGTGTGCGTCATGACGCGTGGAATGAGATACGAGGGTGTTGGATTGGAACAGTCCTCCTGCTGCTTTTGTCGCGGTGTGCAATAGGCCGCCTCCAGAAGATTAGAATGCTAGAGAAAAAGAGACAAACATCTCTCTGATCTCCGCTCCCCGAGAGGCGTTTGGTCTGGTGCTTTGCGTTGCGTCACCGGCCCGGGCCGTCACGTGACTCGAGTGCAACGGGTCCTGTTCTCCAGTGTCGCGCCGGCATGCATGGCTGCCGGCTACTCTCTCTCTCTCTCTCTCTCTCTCTCTCTCTCTCTCTCTCTCTCTCTCCCACTGTCTCGCTCTCTAACTATCCTTCTGTATCGCGCGGTCTACTGATGCCAGCTGCCACGCTGGCGTCAAACTCAATCCAGTCAACCCTAATTGCTTGGAACGACCTGTTGTACACACTGACGGCGAAAAAATTTACCACTTGTCACGAACGGTATCGTCCCTTTTTTCCCCTGTTAATTTAACCCCCTCGCTCTCGCATTCCGCCGCGCGCCATGCTCGCTCGCCCGATGGACCCGCTCCTCCAGGGCCGGCCGCTCAGCGCCGCTCAGCACCGCTCAGCACTGCTCAGCACTGCTCAGCTGGACGCCGACCAGCTGCAGCCCGCTCTGCTAGGCGCTGCTATGCAGGGGCAGTCTGTCCCGCGGGCTCGGTCGGCCCCAGTGATACGGTTCATTTATCCAGGCAAAGCGTCCCTCCTCCTCCTACTCCTCCTCCTCACCTCGCTGCAGGTACTTACACTGCACAGGTCAACCTGTTAGTCCCTGGGGGCGACCGTTAATCCGTAACTCCCTCCCGCCCCCTCCCCTTCCCTCCCTCCCTCTCGTCCGTCTGATGAATCTATTAGGCTCCCTGGAGAGCAGCAGCGGCCGCCCTGGCGGCGCTGATCGTGGATGTAGATCACCGTCGCGGAGCGCACTTTATGCGCAGAGCGAAGCAGAGCTCTGAGCGCACCGGCTG